CCCGGGGGGGGTACTCCCATATATTTGCTATACGGGGACGTGCCGCTGGCCAGGGTATGGTTTTTGGCCTTGCTGTCTTAAACAGGGTATACATTTCACCCGAAATTGTCTTAAACAGGCTCTACAATTTAGATAAAAGAGACCGATATAATTTTTTTGTGTGTCTTGGACAGGGTAATATTTTCATAACACCGTAGAAATACCGTTTCACTGTCCCAGAATTAACGTGTTATCAAAAACTTCTTATTGTCTTTGATGGATGTCAGTATAATTGCAGTTTTGATGGTTGCGGCGTAGATAGCTATTCCTTATTTTTCCGATTTGTCTTGAACAGGGTATGGATTTTTACTTTCTAGTGTCTTAAACAGGGTAAGGGTTTTAGTTAAACTTTAATTAAACCGAGACATATTTCAGTATTTTAGTTATTGTATTTCTTTTGTTAGCATTTAACTTTTAAGATTTATTTCCCTTTATTAAGCTCTAACATACTTGCAATTTTCTGGATCAGTTCATTTTATGCGACATTGTGATCGAGTAATGATGTCCAGCGTTTCGGATTCAGCCGAGATTTTTCTTACGCAAAACGGTTCGCAGTTGTATCTTGTCAGGTCGAGGAACTTCTAACTGCAGAAGCAGAAAGTCAAAATTCTAACAATGAAGTTGATGAGTGTTTGGAAAGGAAAGTGAAATAGCCGTTGAAATTATTCCTTCTCGTGGCATAACAAAACGGAATGATGCAGAATTAGAAGAGAGAGATCAAGCTAGGATTCCTCTAAATACTAAAAAGAGTACTGCCTGAGCTGTTGGAACATGGGACGACTGGGCTAAAGAAAGAAACCGTTTGCCTTTAAACCCAACTGACAGCTTTGTAAAGCTCCATCAAGCAGCCTTCTTAAAGCACTGTGTGACTACGAAGTTTATATATACGAAGTACGGAAAACCGACAAAACAGAATACCCACCAAATTCACTATAAAATATCAGTTGTGTGCAGGTTCGCAGCGCCATTTAAAGGAAAATGGTCTCCCACATTTTAAAGATATTCGAAAATTTTTCTAGGTATGTCATATTTCTTTTACATACTTGATTATATCTATCATGCATGTAGTCTAGTATCAATTTAACTGTATTGACTGTGTTGTTTCTTGACTTTTAAGCTTTGTTTTCGATTATGTCGGACAGTGTTCAGCAACCGTAGGCTCTTTAAATCAGTATATTTTTTTTGAACTTAGAAAATATTTGTCAAACCAAAACATCCTCTGTTTTAGTGTTTTAGTTAAACACTCAATAGGCTAAGAATTGGACTGGATAAAGGAAATGTAAATGGAAATGTTTTTGAAGAAAAGGTTTTATTGAAAAATATTTCAAAAGTAGGGATATTTGATCGTAATATACAGCAAATGATCAAGGATGGGTACCCTGCGCTTTAACAAGGGGACTATTGCATTTCCCCCCTGCATACTAATGATTCTCCTCGGCAAATTAATTAGCTCGTTAGCCCCAAATCTTTCCTGGAATATTTCAATGCCGCCCCTGGTTTTTAGACACCTGGGAATACAGATCCAGGTGATATATTCAGCCGAGAAAAACAATGAAAACCGAACTGATGTAAAAATAAGTGTTGTAAGTGCTATTCAGTTAAGTATCTGGAGCATATGTGCTTAAAATATGATTAAAAGTCATACAAGGTGACTGTCATGGAAAAGATAAAATGGCGACTGAATTGTGGTCAAAACCATACTTTGTCGTTGGTATATCTTAGGAAACAATTAAGACTCTCTGGTGACTGTTCTTAAAGCAATGTTCACTGGATGCATTTGTACTTCATGACAGCATTTTGTTTTGAAATCACTTGTTGCAATGCGATAATAGTTATACATTCACGCTGTTTGACATTTTTCATCTTGAAATATTCATTCGTAAATCTAGTGAAAATACCAATACATTCAAAGCAGAAATGATTATAATCGTATGTATTGATGCTGTTTTATGGATGATCTTAAAAAAATAATAAATCGATAATTTTTAACTCGAAGATTGCGTTAGCAATCGAAGAGTTATTGTGGGGGAGCGATCTGTCACTAACTAAGTCACTCACTCACTTTCCTGTAAACTACGTTGTTGCCTTAGTAACTGCTATTTCTTCAACGACAGAGACACTACCACTAGACCATGTGCACATGAGACATTACGTCATGTCTGTTTTACTAGCTTTTATGCGACACGAGATCAAACCATTGGTTTCCTGTGTCATAATCGTAAATCGATAAAACTACTTCTCTAGGGCTACGAGGACCGAAATATAATGTCGTTAAGATTCTATTCTTTTGCGTAAAATGTACAATTTGAAAGACATTTTTAAAACGGTTTTCGCTTCGAGTGTGTGTCGGCAGTTAGAAAGAGTCAGTGAAACGGATCCAGGGAAACGTAAGCTTTTATGAAGCTTCTCGACCCCGGGGGGGGGGCACTCCCATATATTTGCTATACGGGGACGTGCCGCTGGCCAGGGTATGGTTTTTGGCCTTGCTGTCTTAAACAGGGTATACATTTCACCCGAAATTGTCTTAAACAGGCTCGACAATTTAGATAAAAGACCGATATATTTTTT